TCATTTCTATTCTCATCGTATACTCATATCTCCTTGTCTCATCGACAAGGATCTCTTCCTTTTCTCCTTCATATTCACTCTCATTTCTTTAATACTATCTCTCTCTCTCTCTCTCTCTTTCTCTCTCTCTTCCATTTTATGCTATGCATGTTTAGTTTAGAGAGTAGCTCAGGCCTTGTGATCTCCATTCTTTTTGCTTTCTTATTTCTCTTGTATTTTATAGTTAGATTCTTTACTCCTGTGTATTTCTATTTTCCTAGTTTATCGTTTATTTGTGGTTTTCTTCTCTTGCCCTTTTTCTAAACCTGTTTTCCAAAAACCTTCCTTTTATTTCCTAACCCCTTTTCGAAAGTTTTCTGGTTGAGTTCCAAGGTTGAAATAGGAGGGAAGCTAGATTTGCTAGTTGTCCAAGAGGGCTAAGGTCTTGTGACTAGATTCTCACTCGGAACGTAATTTGACAGGACCCATACTCTTCCAACTCATTGATTTATTTGCACCTGAAACCACGACGGGTGAAGTCCCTTGCCTGCATTTTCGAGTATAAATGCATATGCTTTCTCCATGACCAGCTTAATAAATTACCTCCCATTCCACCAAGTCATATGCTTTTTCCCTCTCAAGTTTAATCATTAATCCAGGTTACCCACTCTCTACCCTTGAATGAATGCATTCTTGAGCGATCAAAACTCCATCTGTGGTCATTCTACTATGAATAAATACATATTGAGGGCCCTAATAATGAGAGCGAGCACCTTGTTTTACCTCATTGTACAAATTTGGAAATAAATTTATAGAGACTAGTAAGTTGGCTAGTAGGGTGAACATTATTGATACCTGTTATGGAGGTTTTCTTAGGAATGAGAGCAATGTAAGTAGCATTAATTCCCTTATTCAAAATCCCCCTTTCAAAGAACTTTAGTACAATCATCAAAATATCATCTCTAACCAAATTCCTAAACCTTTGGAAGAACACCAATAGGAAGCCATTAGGAGCTAGCTTCTTATCCCCTAGTAAAAGGAATACCACCTTGTTCAATTCCCCTTCACTTACCAATTTCTCCAAATCCCTACCAATCTCCTCAGGCAACTTCTTAAAAGGCACTACTTCCATTTTTACCCTAAATTGCAGCTCACTCAAAAGGCTTTTTAAAAACATTTGATGAATTCCATCTTCCATGCTTTCTGATCACCCTTATCAATAGCACAAGAAACAAAGCCAAAAAATATCATTTTATCTCAGTCACGTATTGGCTATAGAATGAAAGAACTTACGATTGACATCCCCATCATTAAGCAATTTAACTATTGATAATGAATTTATCATGTGCAATCTCTAGACTTTCAAGTCTTAAGAAATAATACCACTTTTCTGCACCTGTTGGTATATGGCTTGTATTCTCAAACACAGTTTCTTCATTTTTCTGCTTGATGTAATATTTATTTTCCTTCTTCCAGTCAAGCAATTTGTACTTTGCTTTGAACAATTTATTATGTACTCTAAACCCAAACCATCCATAAGCAATTGTATTGTTTCAAGCAATTCCCTTTCCTCCAACTAATAAATCTCCATATAAAAAGGTTTACGCCCATTACTACCATATCAATTTACAACAATATTCGAATGTGATCTGAAAATAGTTTTGGCAATGCATTAACACGCACCAACGAAAAATGTTCTTCCCAATCACTTGAGACTAAAAATTGATCCAACTTACTCATAATTAAGCCATTGCTCGACCATGTAAAGAAAGCACCATTCACCACCCATGACACAAAATGAATTTGTTACAAGGAATGTGAGAGGAATTTCTTTCGGCCATCTTATACTATTAAAATCACAACTTATGCGCCAAGGAAGATTTAATTCCAGAACAATGTCAGTGTTTTCCTGAAAAAATAAGTTTTTCAAGCATGTAAACATTCAGGGGATTGTATATAGACCCAAAGAAATAACAACGAATGTTTTGTCTTTGACTATTACATTAACATAGTTTAACTACTAGTATCCCACACTACCCACAACACTCTTGAAGATCCTAAAACATCTAAACCCACATAGCCAACATACCTCGATCTCTAAACTTCCATAACACCCCTTACAGACAGACTTGGGAGCTTCATCTCCTACAACTAAGTGACATCAGGTCCTTATTTTTTCACCAAAAACGGACTTCTTTTCTACAGATATATCCCAAGCCCCTCACCTTCCAACTAACGATCTTCATGGGTACCTGAAGTGGATCCATATCTAACGATATTCCCCTCACTTGCAGATATGGAACTATCTTCATCTTCCTCCTCTCTTTCACTGTCATCATTGAGAATCATGATCCCCACACTTACTCTAGCTGCCCTTCTTGCAGCAATCCTTGAAGACGAGTGAGTAAGCTTCATCACCTCAGTCTTTCCTTAATGTTTAGTCTTACCACCATCTACCTATTCTTTTAGTACATCATCCTTCCCTTTTTCCTCTTTCTTTGATGCCTGGATATGCTCCCAAAGGACTTCCATAACCTGAGCAAGGTGATTGTCAAAGATTAACTCCATCTTGATAGACATTTTCTCAAATTCATTATTACCATCATTAATACTTTCCAATTAACTTTCCACCAAAGAATGCAACCCAGTTTCACTCTGATTCCTTTCAGTCAATGTCTTCCTTCTGACTAGGGACTGGTGGGATCACATATTGAAGTGTTACAAAAATCAACCTCTTATTTACAACACATCTTCAAGTTTTCATAATAAGAGATTGTTATAGACTCAGCCCCAAGACCCGTGTCACTCGAAAAATCTTCCACATGATCAAGCACAATAATTGGCAGACCCTGTTCCTCTGGAGGCACCCTAGGGACGACTTGAGCCTGGACTTTCTTGTGAGCTACTTTCTAAAGGGAAGGTAACGCTCACGCACATTAGCAAAACCAAAAGGCAAAGAATTTTAAGAAATATAGCCTATCAAACTTGAGAAGAATTTGAACTAAAAAAATGGCTCTCTCTATTTTTAGATGGTGACCTTGCTTAAATAGGCTCCTTATTAATGCACTTAAAAGAGCATTTTCTCTCCCCACAAGACCTACTTTATATATCTTCTCTTCTCCAAAATCCCGCTCATTTAATAGATGGCCCCACCCCACCGTCATATTGAACCAAAGAAGCCTCCTTAGATTGACCAGTTACATTGATATCCTCTCCTACCTGCCTTTTCAAATTCCTTACCAAGACGCCTCTATCCTTATCAAAAATAAATTCTCATAACTCTCCCCTAAAATTTCTTTATCAAAATTAACCGATAAAGAACCCAAATGATCACAATTACAATTTGATTCAAATATCCCTAAGGAACTGGATAAAACGGTCACACCCTGATGTACTTTCTGTTTAATCGGTAACCAAATCCTTTTAAATATCAAAATAGGATTCACATTATCTAACTTAGTTGAGTTCTCCATAGCTATTCGTCCACGTGTTGTGCCGTCCTTAGAAGATTTGGGGCTTGATGCTCGATCCATGGCTAACCTTTGCTTTTGCTCCATGTACTACATCTTGAGAGGTGATGGACTTATTTGTAGGCACATCTTTTGCATGCTACCTTCCACCTCTCTTCACCAAGACTATTGCTCTAAGCCACTTTGCCCGTAGTGGGCACCATCCCCTATGGTGAGCTAACTTTTAATCTCTCGAACATAATATCAATAATAAAGTCCTCTAAATTAACCCTAAGTCTGATCTTCTTAGGTGAATGTGAGTAGTCGTTTTAATTGACTCTAACCTTTACAAAAGGCAAATTAGATCCTTTCAGAGCAGCCTAGCCAACATCCAAATAACCACTACATATGTTAGCTAGATGCTGGAATACTCTCAAGTTCCAATCATGTAAAGGAATCATCCAAAACAGTTGAGACTCCCCAAAGTGCTGCCCTTCTACACCAACTATATATATGGCTTGCTACCATCCTCCACCGCTTGAAAGACCACCTGATAGCTTCAGTGATAATTCTTATTCTGGCCCCTCACATAGCCCATCCAACCATTTATCAGTAAGTTATGATCTTGATGGATTGCCCCTAGACTATGATACAGAGTAGAAGGCCACCTGTCACTCTACTGTTCACCAAACCAGAAAGCACTCTTCGAAATAAAAGACCCATGCAAACTACTTGTCCAAGGTTCCGTTGTAAAAAGCTTTCCTCACCCTCCAAATCTTCTAATCAATAGCGCTCTTGACATCAGCCACATCTCGAAGACCAAAAACACAGACGGCTCATTGTTCAAGTTCCATGCTCCCTTAGCCCAATCACCTAATCCAAAAAATCATTGATGGAACAACCAGAAAAGATGTACACTTTATGGTCTCTTTGATCACATCACCATCCACTGTAAATACAGGAACTTTATCGGTCCCTTCTCCTTCGCTATCGCCATTTATTCTCTTTGCCTCGAATTATTCCAATATATTTTCTCTTTGCTTTTTCTCTTATTTTCTTTTTTTTGGTTTGCTTTATTCGCTTCTATCTTTTTATCCTCATACATGAAAAAGAAGAAACAGAGGAAGAGCAAGGGGGAGACCAACAAAGCCTTGATCATGCATATCACTACTTAAGAAAAAGTCACATAAGGAATTACATCTGTATGTCAAGAAAAAGACCAATAAGGAGCTCATTACAATCATCTATTCCAAATTAGCCATTAAAAAAAAAAAAAAAAAAAAAAAAAAAAGAAAAAGAAAAAACCACATCATCCATTCTCTATAGAATTTAGAGATTATAGATGGCCATCAATGACTGTAACTTTAAAAGGGCTGCCTTGTCCATCCAAATAACGATTGCTTTGCCAATTTGCCTCCAATTTCATGGCATGAACATCTTCAACATTACTCAGGGGTAGGGGTGAAATAAGAGTGGGATAAATGGATGCCACCTCTCTTCTTACAAGAAACATTGCATAAAAGTAAGAACCAAATGGGACGACCCAACAATCAACTACTTTTTCATGAAAAAAATGTGTAAGAGAGAGAGAGGAGAATAGAGAGTAAAGAGAGCTCAAAACAAGGCATGGGGTTCTTGAATTCAAGAAACTAGCTCACCAGAAACTACAATTATTCATCACATGAGCCATGAAACTTAGAGAGAGATAGAGGGAGAGACAGAGTTTACGTGGGTAACAAGGTTGGATAATGAAAGAGTAAGATGTGCAATCTACTCCCGCGGGAGTATACTATCTTTTGGCTTCTGGTATTCCATGGTGCAAGTCCTCCGTGCCTCCTTTGCAACAAAGCCCGCTTATTGGTGCCATTAAATCCGCAGGAGAATATCCAAAATGACGGCCATTGCTTCTCTCTTTCCCCCTCCCACTCTCTGCTCCACTACTCAGCTCTCCCAATTTTCGAGAGAGCGGTTTCTAGGCTTTTCTCGAAAATCTCTTGTGGATAAGAAGGAGAGAAAAAACCCAATGTCCACCAACTATTCTCTTTCTATTATTTGTGGAATTTTACCAGTGGATCCATGGGCACCCACCATTGATTCTCAGAGCATAGCTTCTCAGTTATTTGCAGCTTCCCTGTTTCCATATATTGGTTTTCTTTATTTTATCACCAAGTCAAATTCTTCTCCCAAGCTAACCCTCTTTGGTTTCTACTTTCTACTGGCATTTGTGGGAGCTACAAGTAAGTATTGGTTCTATTTATTTATTTATTTTTTCTGTCGTGGGTTTCTTGTAATATGAGATGAGATTAGTCAGCTCAGAATTTTACTCCTGATAGAGTTTTTGGAAGCAATTTCGTGATTTTCATTACTTATTCGGAATTTTCAGTGAGGATTGAACTAGCATTATTATTATTTTCAATAAATAGATGTGCGTTTTGTCCTTTTTAATTTTTTCTGAATTTCAGTTCATGTAGGAATTTGCATTTGTTTTATGTTGTTTTTAGGGGGATGATCCAACTTATGTGTGAATCTGAAGAACCTCACCTCTTAAAAAATCTATTTTTGAGATGTATTTTGGACCTAATTTTTAAGGACATGTAATCTCTAACATGGAGATCATGAATATGAAAAAATAAATAAATTTAAAAATTAAAAATAATAATTCTATTAAGAAAACATTTGGACCAATTATTTTTTGATGGACCACCTAAAGATGGATGCTTTATACCTTGGGGACAGCAAATCTGGAAAGGCGGTTCCAGCCACATGAAAAAAATTTCCTATAACTATATTCGATGAAATTCTAAGTTATTGAAGCTTCAAAAAAATTTGAACTCACTTGTTTGTAAAGTTACAGAGAGTATTGGATTCATAATCCAGACAGCCCAGAAAATCCAGTTCATTGTTTTTGGAAATGTAGAGCTTTTCAGAAAAATGGAATTCTGGTTTTGAACTCTAGCGTTTTCCTGAAGCTTGGAATTTATTGAATATCCTGAGTATGAAAAGCGCGAAAGAGATGTTCTCTTTTTGTAACATTCAGTGGCTTGTTGAGAATATTCTTGGAATTTGAAACTTCTGAAAATTTTGCTGCACTATAAGGCTCTCTGTTTTTCCTTTTCCTTTTTAGGAAAATGTGCTACTTAAGTTATTGGGATGTTAGCAAGAGCTTGAAATTTCTGATGAAGCCATTGGGATTTTTACCGTCGGCACTTCATTGGAGATAAAGTAACTTTTTCTCTCACAAATGTTATATTTATTCTTTGACCTTTTAAAGTGGATTTCTCGTCTTTCGTAGAATTTTGCAGCTCTGAAGCTAAGGTGTGCATATTCTTTAAACTCAATACATAGAGATTGAAGTTTTAAATTTTTTCAATCTATACAAAAGCATATGATTGACATGGAATCCAAGCTAAATCCTTGTGTATGAATGGAGCATTGAAAAACGTTGACCTTCTGGATGAATGAACATTAAACAATTGCTTAGTTTGCTCCAAGTAGGACTTTACACTATTTTCTGAATCACAAAGAAACCAGCACCGATTAATTTTAGAAGTCCGCTAATTTATGAAAATGAAATTCACTCCGAACAAACTAAATGATTTTTAAAGATAGATTAAGAGATGGCAATAAAGCACATTTATACATACCATCCCCTACATTTCTATTGAGACATGTTTTCATAACACATTCTTTCATATTAATCATTTGTGTGCATAAAGCATCATCTAGTGATCTAGTCTATGGATATGGAGCTCTTTGGTTCAATGATTTAGTTCCAAATTTCACACCCTTGTTTATTTTTCATTCTAAGAAAAATATAATAAAAATTTCTCTTCTACCTATTTAATTTGTGGGTTTCCTTGTATTTATTGCTAACTATTTTCTTTTTTTTCCCCCATTTTTGTGCCTGGTATCTCATGTCGCTCATACAGTACCAGCTGGAATCTATGGTAAGTCTGTTTGATTTAAATTTCATAGAAGCATGATCATTTGATAATTTCAGAGAATCATTGTAAAAACTATTGCAAATGTTTATAGCATGATGTCTCTCATGTTATGTTAACAATGGAAAAAGATACAACTCATGTTTGTACCATTGCAGCAAAATTGCATTATGGGACTTCACTGTCGAATGTCGATTGGCTACATGGGAGTGCTGAATCACTGCTCACACTTACAAATTTGTTCATTGTGCTGGGGTTAAGAGGCGCATTGAGAAAATCTAAGGATGGAAAAAAATGCACCGAGTCTGTACTTCAATCTGATGTCAAAGAGGAGAAGCAAACAACTTTATAGGTAGGATTAATTACCAAAAAAAAAAAAGTGCATATAGTTGTAGAATGCTATCCCCAGAAAAATTGAATTGGATTATCCCCTTTTATCAGTTCCGGCATGACTATTCTAAAGTTAAATTGTATTAAATTATTATTTCTTTATCATTTGAATTAGAAAGCTTAATTGTAGTTGTTGGGAGTGGAGTGGGGGTGAGGTGTGTTTAGCCTGGCAAATGGTGCTGCACCCCTAGAAAGGGAAGAACTGAACAGAGCCACTATGGTTTGGATGCCCGCAGGAAGGCAAGAAGGGCTCCAGGTCTTGACTGCTGACATTAGTGCACTACAATGATGATCTCTTGGGCAGGAGTGCTGGGAAAGGGACTGATTGAGACTCCTTGATGTAATTAGAATATAGTAGGCCCTCAAAAGTAGTAGGTAAATTGGGTCCCAATGGGTTGACACTCAGGGGTAATCTTCTAAGGCTTTGGCTATCCCTCAAAAAATCTTCTAAGGCTTTGGCTATCCCTCAAAAGGACTTTTTGCAGACTCTTAAGTGTTTAGTTATACTTCTGAAGTTGCTGCATTATCCTCCTAGAGTTGGGTATCTACTCCATGTAATTATCATACTTGAGGCGTCCACAAAGATTACTTAAGGATATTCCTACCTTGCCAGAGTAATGATTTTGGTGCAGTATTATGTTCTATGTATAGCTTAAGTAGGTAGTATAAGAACTTAACAAAATTAAATAAACCTTCAAGTAATGCAGAACAATGAAATAGAAGAGATCAAAGTAGAAGGTCATCCTAGCCAGGGATGCAGCCTATTTTGCCCAAGTCGGAGCTGCACTAGCAAGACAAGCATTTAGGACATGTCTGCCATCTAGCCAGACATCTAGCAAGGCAAGCATTTAGGACATGTCTGTATATCTTGCAAGGCAAGCATTTGGCGCCAGTGACTGAATATGATATGCCTCAAACAATGAGAAAACTCCATGGTTAGTTGTTCAATCTTGTAAATTACATCCGCTGTCTTAGAAATGGACCTATCCATAACTAAAGGAAGAAAGAAGTCGATCCTGGCCCACCTATCAATCTTAATCATTAAATTTTTTTTGAGTGGTTCCATCCAATCATTATATTCTTCCTACATAGGGTTCCAAAGCCCAACAAAGCCCAAATTCAAGCAATGCCCTATCCAGAGGAACAGATATGCTAATGACAAAATCGTGTTTGATTTTAAAGAAAGTAGTGACTGTTCCTATAGATTAGACTGAGTATAAAAGCATGATCTTCCATACAGGCATCGCTACTATCCACTTATTGCATGTTATGGTTGAACTAGCCAAAACAAAAGGGAACTGTTATGCTACTATCCACTTATTGCATGTTGGGACGCGGTTAGCATGCGGCCAGCCCGCATATTGTAGAAATGCAGGCTTGGCAATAAATATAATTTGATCCTAATTTTTAGAGAATATATAATCTTTAACATGGAGATTATGAATATGAAAAAAAGAAAAAAAAAAAATTGAAACTAGAAATAATAATTATATTAAAAAAACATTTAGGACATTAGTTAGAATTGTTTTTTAGATGGACCACCTATTTGCATCCATCTTTAAGATGGATGCTTTATACCTTTGGACCGCATATTGTACAAATGCGGTCCAGCCAGCATGAAACTACTGTTCTTGCATGTTGTGGTTAAACTAGACAAAACAAAGGGGAGCTGTTTTATATAATTGCGATGCATAAGCTTCTTAACACTTATGAGCAATAAGGAACTCCTGGCAGCTTTTAATGCGTATCTGCTGGGAGACGGCCATCAGCATAAAGGGCCTTGCCACGATTGTCCACAACACTGAATACATGCAGCTTTGTTAATGCACAGCCTAATTGATGTTGGTTTCCTTTTGTGGATATGAGTATATATCCCCATCAACATCCATTCTGGGTGGCCCCTTGTATGGCACATAGCATGCTCATGCATAGGAAGGAGCTTTGTGCAGATCTATGTGTGAGCATGTCAATTTGACTTTTATGGCTGTTCTGGTTTGTTCACTTGACACTTTGAAGATACAAGTTATAGCATCATCAATCATGACATCTTAAAGTGTTCCTCATGACTGAAGTCAGCAAAGTGCTGCTAGCCCTCCAAAACCTTTTGCAAATGCTAATGAATGTATACTAACAGATATGGCATTGTAAATAATTTAATGTGCAACTCAGTCTATTTTGAACATGATCGCAGAATTTTTTGAGGCATATCTTCCTGTCGATCTTTTGTTTTTTATGTGCTACAGCTCTTGTGTTTTGTCATTATCTGTGTGGATAACATTGTCCCAAGTGGGATGTTATTTATGAAATGAAGTTTTAAGGATTTGTTTTTACTTTCTGAATGAAGGATCCTTATCTTCTAATGTCATTCTTGGGTTGGACATTTTTTTTAATATGCCATTGGTGATAGTGTTACCTAATAGAACTATGCCCCCAATGCCCTGGAAATTATCTCATATTCTCAAAAACTTGTTGATAAACTCCAATATGGTTGACACCCTTCTTGAGCTTAATGTCCAATACTACTCTGCCTTGGTATTCGCCCTCTGTACTTTGACGTGGTTATCTTACCATGACGTGGAACAAATATTGCTCATGCTGCTCATGTTTCTAACCAATTTGTCTTCTCATATTGTTATCTTCACATGAGCAGTTTCCTTTAGGTTACATTATACTTTTTTTGTTCATGGCATGGCTTATCCATAAGTTGAGTGGTCAGCTTGCTTCATGCTTAAATGGTTGCTCATACCTGGTCAAAGACTTGCAACAAGGTTCTGTGAAACTTTTTTAATGGTTCATTGTTCTTTGAAATACTGAATTGTTAAAAATTTCTCAAGACAATTTTTTGTTGTTACTGGAATTCATTCTCAACATACACACTAAGACTCATCTTTCGTTTTTTTTTTTCTTCATGGCTTTGTACGAAACTGGAGGTTTTTTTTCCTTTTATTTTTTCAATGTAGAAGTTAGTTACGAAACATTTCTGAATAAAAGTTTAAGTTGTCATTCTGTATTGAGAGGGGTTCCCTTTTGCATTTTCTTCTTTCCAGGATAGTGAGGCCCAATGTTTCAGAAACACTGTGGCCCCTAGGCGGCTGGCCTGGCGCTAGCGGCTAGGTATGCATGTATGTGCTGTCCAAGCACCCATATATGCAGATATGTGGGTTAATTTTGTATTTTGTTGTATTTATATGTATTCCAACTGATGTTTTCATGCAAATACCCTTACTAGCACCCTAAAAAAATTCTAATAATAAAGGGTATGGTTTTGGATGCTTCTTCAAACTTCATTTCCTTTTTTTTTTTTATTTAAGGAAATTTGCAAAATCAATCGACTTGGGGTGTTTCTTGGGTTTAGATTTTTTTAATTTTTTTCTCACTTTGGGCATTTAGAATAAACCCCAAACACCCTTTTGTAGTATATTTTGTCGATCAAAATGACCTGAAGTGAACTTAGGGGCTACTTTATTTCAAAAAAAAGGGGCCATGCCTGGGCGCTGGGTGCCACCCTAGGCGGGCGTAGGAGGGCACCAAGGTACAGGCACCCAGGGAGAGCTGCCCAGGCCTAGGCATGAGGCCTAGGGCCCTTTCAGTGCCTAGCTAGGCGGCCCCATTTTCTAAACAATGGTAAGGCCCTCATGTGTTCGCAAAGTGAGCATTTTTGTACTTCTAGCATGTGGATCTTGTAGTATGACATTTGTTCTCTTAAAAGGCTAATGCTGAGATGTAACAGTCTCTATCTGGCAACTAATGATGTGTGTGCTATATTAAAAGTCCTGTTTGGATGAAACCCTACATCCTCTATAATAAATCTTGAAAACAAATCATTGGTGAATACTGTTGTTTTCCTGTGATGCATAGCCCTTATCTAAAACCCAGCTTTCTGTATTCTATAGCCTGAACTTTCTGACTTCTTAAAAGATAACTTCCAGAATAAATAAATAAATAATGAAAGAGAATTACGGCTCTTCTAAAAGAAAACTTATTCTAATTACTGCCGTACCACTATTTGGTTTTCTAGCTTCTTTGTGCACCCTCCATTGATTCTCATACTTTGCAGCTCAGCTGCTCTAGTTCCTTGTCAGGGTTTTCTTTATCCATCAATAAGCTTTTAGTCCTTTCTTTACTGATGTCATTCTGCTGGATTTTGTGGGTGCTACATGTTATGGTTCAACTTGATATTTCATCAGATTGTGTTGTCGGCATATTGAATATTCAATTCGGACTTAGATTGTTGTTGGGAGTATCAGTTTTGACTCTGTAACTATGTTTCTATAGTTATTTGATTGACTAAATGTAGAAATTGAACTGCAGAGGAAATAAGGGAACCACCTCATTTGTAGATGTGTACTAAAATACCATGGTTGGTGTAAATTGTTCTTCTTTTTGTCCCTTTATTGGTTTTCACACTCTGTTGCGTGATTGTTTCAGTAGGCCTGTTAAGCTTCCGATTAACATCTATGACAGCGGATCATAAGACTTCAACAGCATATGTGCAGCTTTTTTATGAGGTTCTGGAAATGATCAGTAGATAATAACTTGCGAATGTTATTGCTAGGTCTTGCAACTTCATGGTTTCTCTCAAAACACTATAGTGTTTGTAGGGTATTAACCTACATTGTTTTGAGTACTCACTCATAACCTGCCTGTTTGGATGACAAATAATATTATCTAGAGTTGATTTAAAATTAATATACTCAGTATAATATTACTTTATTCGCTGTTTGGTCCATGCCCTATAATGTTGTAATATCATTTCAGCAATTTTCAGTGACTTTTTGCTACTTCTAGATAAAACTAAGTGACATTCAGCAAATTACTCGAGTAAAATCAACTTTACAAAAAGATAAAATTTATATGTGAAGCTGCATATAAATTTATCTCAGATAATTTTAGGATGGACAGTACCAAACAACAAATTGTTCATTATCAAGATTATTTTAATTGAAGTTTCTAGCGCATGTTTCCATGTCCATAATATTTTTACATTATTATTTTTTGGCTGACCAGAATTTCTAGAGTTTTTTGCCTACCCTAGCTCGGTGATAGATTCTATGTTCACATCCAGCCAGTAGAACATTATAGAAAATGTCTAACTACTACTTTCTTATATCCACTCTCTCAGGTCATACATGACAAAAAATGCCAAGCACCTTATTGTTATTTTTCCGATGGGGTTTTGTATGATAATAAGATATTCCTATACACTTCTTTCTTATTTTTCTGTGGTGTGTGCTACATAATAGGAAATGCCTACATACCTTCATGTCTTCCTGCTGGGTGTTGTGTTATCCGCAGTTAAAATGTCTTAGTGAGCTATGCTTCATAAGTTTCAAAGAACTGTTAATGGCCATTGATTTCAACATTTTTAGGCCATGTTGGGCTGAAAATTAAATCAAATCTGCAATATTTTCTTTTTGTTTTTTGTTTGGTCAAAATGTTGATGGCCCACATTCAAATTAATCTACGGATGAGGGAGGTATGGTGTGTCTTTAATAAGCCCCGTATTGGAACTCACAAGAATCTTGAAACATTCCCAAACTCACTGAAAATATACCTCTTGTAAACCTCTCCTCCCTCTAGAGAGTTAACCTCTCTCTCTCTCACTTTCACTTTCATACCCCATTAGGGAGAACCCATTAAAACAAAGTTGGAGAGATTGGGCTGTGGTAGCTCAGGGCATAGAAAGAGAGCATAGAGTTTCCATTTGCTTGGTGAGAGAGAGGGGCGTGGGAGTGTAGGGTTGCAGTTTGTGGGTGAGAGAGAATAGAGAGAGCGGGTCTAGGAGGTGGTCTAGAGAGAGTTGGAAAGAGAGAAGGGTTGATAGGAAGAGAGAGATTATTGGTGGTTGTGAGAGAATTAGGGGTGCCAATGGACCCGGACTCGACCCATACCCGCCAGGTATACCTGACACGGGTGCAGGTATGGGTCCAAGTTTTGGACCCGCAGGTAGGGTCTGGGTCCACTAAAGGATACCGGATAGTCCCGTGTCCGGGTACAGGTCTTGCTATACCCGATCCAAGGGGTACTCGGACCCGAATTTTTAGTTTACCCAAAGGCCAAAGCCCCAACCCTAAAATCGTTGTAATACTTTTCGTCTTACCCTGGTTCCCTGAATGGTTGAACCTGATCACTATCCTCCCTTACTGCAATTCTTCCTTTCTCAGAGTCTTGGAGACAGCTCTCTTTCTGGATCTCGAATGTCTCTCTCCTTCTAATAGCCCACCCCTCAAAAATCAGTTCTCTGTTGTTCACCATTGTAGGGTACATAGTGAGGGTGACAGTGGACTCGACCAGACTCGGGACTCGATGGGTATGGGTATGGGTCCGACTTTTGGACCCGACTGGTCAGGTCTGGGTCCAAAACCTAGATTTGAATACATTCG